TTACATCCCACTTTACCATAAAAGTATAATATTCAGGGCCTTCTTTTTATTTGGATGGATGTGTATTTACTAGGTGTTTTTTTCTTATTGTCATGGTATGGCAATATTGGTGACCCTTGCAACATTTTCAGGTTATAACTGTGTCACTGCAGTTTGTGGTGCACCAAGCAGTGGTGCAAAGTGCCTCAGTCTCCACTCCTCACCTCTGCTGTTTTAGCCTGGAATTCCCATAGATATGTAAAAAGCAAGCATGGCTGTGTTCCAATACATTTTTATTTATGGATATTGAAATTTGAATTTCATATCATTTTTACATGTCATGAAATAGTCTTTTAATTTTTTTCCCTATCCAGTTAAAAATGAGCCATACAAAAACAGGCAGTGGGCTGGATTTGGCCTTTCAGCTATAGTTTGAGGACAGACCCTTAGCCAGAATCTGGATAAATACAGGGAGCAATCCATTTGTTCTCAACCACCTCTTCCTTTTGCCATAATGGTAATTCACTAGCACTGTTGTAGTTGTGTATACTTTTTCTGTTGTACTGTGTTGAGGATCATTTGAAAGATCTTAATACATATTGCCAAATTGCTTTCTAGAATATGCTTACCTTCTTTTTATTAAAAAAATCTATATTGTGTTATATTCTTCAGGCACAGATTAGACTGAGTTAAAAAAAAACTGTACTCTTTACTTATTTTCTAGAAGCAGAGTTGCCCTTTTCTAACTGATATAAAGCCACTGGTATTTTTGAGTATGTTCTAAAACAGCAGATCAGTTCTTATTGTGTATTCTTTGGCTATCCAGCTTAAATTCCATATCCTTTTAAAGAAGTGCATTCTAAATCCTTTCCTTTATATCTTTTAGTTGTGCAGAAGAGAGCATTGAATATAAAAATGTCACTTGTTCAGTAACTGGGCAAATAAACTGCTAAGTCTCTCTGTGACTATGAATTTGTTCCATAGAAATTATTTTCTAATTTGGGTTCTTAGCTTTTCTGTTACCTTTAAGCTTAGGACTCCTTATCCATTTTGTCTTTACAAGCAAAGAATGTTTATAACAGATTATTCTTGTGAAGTGAGGCAACATAGAGGCCATTCTCAGCGTAGACACCACTTTGTAAAACTCATATGAAATATGGTTCATGTAACCTCATAGACTTTTAATACTCAGACGGATCATAAGGTCAAGAGATCGAGACCATCCCGGCCAACATGGTGAAACCCTGTCTCTACTAAAAATTCAAAAAGTAGATGGGCATGGTGGTATGTGTGCCTGTAGTCCCAGCTACTCCAGAGGCTGAGGCAGGAGAGTTGCTTGAACTTGGGAAGCGGAGGTTGCAGTGAGCCTAGATTGCACCACTGCACTCCAACCTGGTGACAGAATGAGACTCCATCTCAAGGAATAATAATAACTGATAATAATAAAGCCTGTCTTGTGGCTAAAATCCAAGTCCACTGGCTGCTATACCATTTAAATGGAGCTGAAATACCCACAAGGCTAAAGAAATATTGGAACACTTTTCAGAGTGCCATGCTACTTAATACTTTTCAGCTTTACTACAATAACCTATAAAGCTACCTGTAATGTTCTAAACAGAAAAAAAAAAAAAATCTAAGGGCTGAATAAAACATCTTAAGTTTTAAAAGTATTAACTGTGAAATGAATTTTCTTTGAAATTTTATTTTAAAAATTCCCTTTGAGAGGTCAAGGCAGGCGGATCACAAGGTCAAGAGACTGAGACAATCCTGCTAACACAGTAAAACCTGTCTCTACTAAAAATAAAAAAAATTAGCTGGGTGTGGTGGCATGCACCTGCAGTACCAGCTACACAGGAGGCTGAGGCAGAAGAATCGCTGGAACCTGAGAGAAGGAGGTTGCAGTGAGCCGAGATTGCACCACTGTGCTCCAGCCTGGGTGACAGAGTGAGACTTCATCTCAAAAAAAAAAAAAAATTCCCAGGCCAGGCGTGGTGGCTCACACCTGTAATCCCAGCAGTTTGGGAGGCGAAGGTGGGTGGATCACCTGAAGTCAGGAGTTTGAGACCCGCCTGGCCAACATGGTGAAACCCCATCTCTACTAAAAATACAAAAATTTGCCAGGTGTGGTAGAGCGCACCTGTAATCCCAGCTATTCCAGAGGCTGAGGCTGGAGAATCTCTTGAACCCAAGAGGCAGAGATTGTATGAGCTGAGATCACTTCACGGCACTCCAGCCTGGGTGACAGAGTAAGACCTGTCTCAAAAGAAAAAAAAAAAAAAAAATCCTCCTTAGTAACGTAAAATGAATTGGGAAAAGTTATGAGAGTCTCAAGTTATAACTAACAAAAAGTGTATCTTAAACCTTTAATATTTTTGCCCAGTATATTAAATCCTTTACTTACTAGCCAGGAACGTGGAAACAGCACAGCTTGAATGAGTCACAACAAAAGCAGATTTAGGATTGATAGACACATGACATATGAAGAGAGAAGAGGTTAACTTTAAGTCAGTTGAACTAACTAAAACAGTTGCATAGGTCAGAACTTGGGTGGTTGGTTATCCATTGAACCACTGAACTTCTTCATGTAACTCGGGGGGAAATCGAGGCCTGGAGGAATTTAGAGACTTGGCCAGATCACTCCTAGTTAGAGAAAGGGCTGAAATTCACATCTTTTCATTAACACTAATAGAAAACAAGAAGACTGGGAAGGCGCAATCGCTCACACCTGTAATCCCAGCACTTTGGGAAGCCGGGGCAGGCAGATCATAAGGTCAGGAGTTCGAGACCAGCCTGGCCAACATGATGAAACCCTGTCTCTACTAAAAATACAAAAAATTAGCTGGGCATGGTGGCATGCACTTGTAGTCCCAGCTACTCAGGAGGTTGCACTGCTGCACCCCAGCCCAAGGCGACAGCATGAGACTCCGTCTTTAAAAAAAAAAAAAGAGAAAGAGAAAAGACTTTGATCACTTCTGAAATTTTTAGGAAAAAAATATTGAAGAGTAACTTTCTTCCAGTAATTCATATTTCATCTACCAGACACTTTTGTAAGGTAAGAGGAGAGTTAGGTAAGATAAGAGGAGTACCAGTTGTCTAGTACTGAGCTTTGTATAAAATTTGAATGAGGACCCAAAACACAATAAAAAGAAGTGAACAGAAGCTGTTGAGTTTACTGAGTCCATCATTATTTGTTTTCATGTCCTCCATTTAAGAAAAAAATTTTCTATTTTAAATTTTTGCGGATACATAATAGTTTCATATATTTCTGGCACCCATGAGCTCTTTTGATACAGGCTTGCAACACCTAATAATCACATCATGGAAGATAGGGTATCTGTCCCTTCAAGCATTTATCTTTTGTGTTACAGACAATCCAGTTACACTCTTTTAGTTATTTCTCAATGTACACTTAAATTATTAGTGACTATAGTCACCCTCTTGTGCTATCAAATACTGGGCCATATTCATTCACTTTAACTATCTTTTGTTCCGATTAGCCGCCCCCACCTCCTGCCACCCCAACCCCTGCTGCCCTTCTCACCCTTTGGTAACCATCCTTCTACTCTCTAACCCTTGACCTCAGGTGATCCACCCACCTTGGCCTCCCAAAATGCTGGGATTACAGGCGTAAGCCACCACACCCAGCCCAATTGTTTTTATTTTTAGCTCCCACAAATAAGTGGGAACATGCAATGTTTGTCTTTCCATGCCTGTCTTACGTCACTTAACATAATGACCTACAGTTCCATGCATGTTGTTGCAAATTATTGAATCTCTTTTTTATAGCTGTATAGTACTCCATTGTGTATATGTACCACATTTTCTTTATCCATTCATCTTTGGATGGACAGTTGGATTGCTTCCAAATCTTGGCTGTTGTGAATAGTGCTGCAGTAAACATGGGAGTGCAGATATCTCTCTCCTTAATGTACTGATTTCCTTTCTTTTGGGCATATACCTAGCAGTGCAATTGCTGGAGCATATGGTAGGATCCTCAAGAATCTTAAGACATATAAAGGGATCTTGAGACCAAAAAATTACAGAACTGCTGTTTTCCAGCTTTGTGACTCAAAGTGTGGTCCCAGGCACTCCTTGAATTGCAGAGACGAGGGTCCCACCCAGACCTACTAAACTGGAGCCTGCAGTGTAAGGACGTCTTCACATGATTCCCTTGTATACTAGATGAGGTGCTGCTTTCAGGAACACTTGAAAGAAGCTTCAGTCAGGAGCAGTGCTGCAGCTGTGGAATCCCGAGGGAAAGTGAAACACTGGGAGGGAGGACTGGAAGACTCAGACACAGAGCCCTTCTTTCCCAAAATAGTTCCTCTCTTCTGTGTGTCCTCTGGTCAAGCGTTTTCACCTTAGGAATGTATTCTCATACAGTTTAGATGTTTGAAATTGCTTGGAGGTTTAGTAGAGAAATCTCAGCTCAGAAAGGATAGGCCACTTGGGAAAGGACCTATTGGAGATGTGAAGCCTGCGGCACTGTCCAGGATCTTGCTGAGCAAGGCACGTCTGTCCAGGTTCATGCCTGTTACTGGGGGATTTTGTACAGTAGTCTCACCTCATCTCTGGTTTGGTTTGTTTCTGAAGATAACTACCATCACTATTAACTCAAGCTAGAAAAGGTAGGCAAAAAGACTGTCACTTAAATTTTAGTTGTAGATTTATGTTTTATCTCAAAAACAGTTTTCATCTTCTAATTATGTCTTTGCTATGGATGCATAGTTATAGCAGAAAGCACGCATGTAATCCTTTAGTCCAAATAGATGAGCACTTGGGATGTTGATTCTGTAAAGCATTTGTGAAATCAACCTCCTTTGCAGATGAGCATTGTGACAGAGCAGACGTTTTATATGTTTTTAGGAAGGTTAGCTGTCTGAAATTGGTGACTAAACAAAGTTAGGTTAAGTGTACAAAGTTCGTGTTAAGTGTACAACCAGACAGTATAATACAAACTGTTGTAACAAGATCTTCCATTTCTGAGCCCTAATAATTACTCGCTTTCTCCTTGTTTTTAGGGTGAATCTGTAAAATATTTCCTGGATAACTTGGATAAACTTGGAGAACCAGTAAGTGTTTAAACTGAATGTTTATGTTTAGTGCCATTTAAAAGCAGAAGTCAGAATATCAACAATAGGAAATTGAGAAAAATGATATATTAAGCTATTTGCTTCTTTTTTTTTTTTTTTTTTAGTGGTGTCATTCTGATTCTTTCTTGCTTTATTTAGAGTGATTGGTAGCTAAAAATTTATTGAATGATTTTTATTTTTTCAAAAAGAAAATAATATTTTTATTGTTTAATCATGACACTTCTTTTTTTCTCCCTCTAACTGTCCAGATCTTTACCATTTTCTCAAGGAATGTTTTATCTGCTATTTCTTGGAAATAAAACTGTTTAGAGAAAGTTTATGTTTGAAAATGATATTGTGCGTTTTCTATTATACTTTAGTGTCTTTGGGGGGTTTTGTTTGTAACCGGAAATAGGACACAGTGGGTTGATTGATTTCCAAATCTTTTGACAAACAACATTTTTGAGTTCATGCCCCCTTTGTGTTGAGTTACAAGGAATTGCCCTTGAAAAGAGAGTTTATTATTTTCCTGTAGGTATTCCTTGGAGCCAGCAGCTCTAAGCTGGCGCTGTGGCCAGCGGGGCCCACTGCAGGCAGAGCAGCTCCGCTTGTTTGACCTCTGTATTGGACGGACACAGAAGAGTTTACTGGGAGAAAGGTTTCTGCTGCTTAGGAAAATTTTGAAAGCCACTGCCTTAGAGTCGTTTGTTACTCTCTAAATGTAGTGCATCTTTGTCTGCCTCCTCATAAGGCAAACTTTTCTTTTTCTTCTCTTTCTTTTCTTCTCTTCTCTCTTCTCTTCTCTTCTCTTCTCTTCTCTCTCTCTCTTTCTCTCTTTCTTTCTTTCTTTCGTTTTCTGCTTATGTAAAAGCAAATTTCTGTTACAAATTGTAATGAGGCCGTATGGGTACTTTGAGGTTTTTATCTTTAAAAATATAACTGAAGGAAAGCACAAAATGAACCTGTTGCAAGTAGGAAAATACCATCCTAATGTATCCAGGACACGTGAAAAGGTGCCTCCTTTTTACCCTAGCAGAGTAATTTTTACATTTTCCCAGTGTTTTTCTGAATTGCATTTGTCTGCCTTCAATCCAGTATATTTATCCTGCCTGTTTCCTAGACAGGTGACCCACACATGTTGACAGAATCTCCATAGTTTGTTTTTACTAATTCAGTCTACATCAGTGAAACTTTGTATTAAGATCTATTTTACTAACATTTTTCCATCTGGCCAGATTGTAAACCTTAAAAAAGTTAGGTATAGGTCAAGTAGAAAGGCACCTTAGTAAGTAAACTAATTTTATAAGCGTTATTTCTTGTTTTCTAATTCAGACAATGCTGACTTGACCTGCTCCTCTCAGGTTACCTTTCAGGCAGGCCTTCCTGAACACACCAAAGTGTTTCGCTCCTCAGTATCAGCTCCTGCTTTTCTCCTCTGTCGCACGTGGCTTTTGATAATTATTTTATCTTTGTTTTCACCCATCTGTTTCCGTAAGTACAAGGACCTCATCTCTGGATTATGAAGAGTTGAGGGTTCCTGATGCCCAGTGACAATGCCTGGCGTGAAGTAAGCACTCAACAAATAGGTGAATGAATGACTCTGGGCCAACTCCATTCAATTTGTTGTAGCTGCTTAGGATCTTACGTTGAGAACAATTTTGAGGCCACATCTGGAATAAGAAGAAAAAGTGCTGTGTTCAGCATATAGTGGTAAAGGAGCAGGGAGACTAAACCTGAGCGGCACTGCATTTTTGTCAGCCATTTTGTGCATATGGAACAGGTCACAGAATTCTGCTTGCTGGTTTATTTCTTACTGAAGTACTAGGGCCATCGATACCCTGCTGTGCTGAGCCCTGTGTCTCTCCGGTAGGTGGAACAGCACAAAGGTCAAGGACATGGGCTCTGCAGCCAGACTGCCTGGCTTCCCATCCCAGCTCCATCATGGACTGGCTCTTTATGACGTCAGTCATCTCTAAACTGTAGTTTTCGTTCATAACTGGGCATAATAGCAGAGTAAGAGAACTGAGCTCCCAGTGTTATGGGACAGTTACATAAAATAAACCCTGAAGGTGTAGGAATATAGTAAATGCTCAATGTTAGCGTTTTTTGATCTCTACATTTAAGGAGCCCTATCTACTCAGAGAGACAGAACTAACATATGTAAAACAAGTAGAGGACAGTGAAATGATACTGATCACAAAGATAAACTTAGTTTATGGACTGGAGAGAGATGTATTGGCTGAAAAAGTTGGAGCTAGGCTGTAAGAGTAAGTGAACCTGAACTGCCTGAAGGATGGGTTGCTTTTAGATACATAAAGACATGATGTGGCCCACCAATATGGGAGACAGCTGGATGTGCTTGGTTCTAGGAGGCACATCTCTCTGATGGAAGGGTATGCAAAATTTTTAGCTCTGACTTGTAAAAACAGACTTTTAGAAGGCAGTAGCTTGGGTTCTTAGGCATTGTTTATTGTATCTGCACTGTTGTGCAAATGAACGAACATGTGATGGTGTTCAGATGTGAAGCTTTCTGCAGATTTTGGTAGGCACTCTGATGAGCTGGAACAGCACAAAGCAGAGCCCGCTAATTCCAAACAACAAGGTGTAAGGAGGGCCCTGAAGGCCAGTCAGCAGTTTGGACTTGATGCAGTGAGGGACCCCTCACCAGGCTGGAGTGTGGTGGCACAGTGTCAGCCCACTGTGAGTTCTGGAGTCCTGATGCAGGATGGTTGTTCTACAGAAACATATAGTGGCTTAGACATGGACTTGAGGTGTGAGACATTCAAGGTCAGAAAACTGGTGAGGAGATGGCAGCCATGCCTGAGATGAGAAGAAAGTGGGAGCAGTGGGAATAGGAGGAAAGAGAACATGTCAAAAATATTCAAAGAAAGAGCAACAGGATTTGGTACAAAACAGATGGTAGAGAAGAGGCCATGGTGAAGGGAGACTAAGAAGCTGGGACTGTTGGGTGCAGAAAATAGAAAGGAGCGTGCACTAGGAGACCTGGAGTAGAGGAGCCAGTAGGGAAAAAGATGAGTTTTCTTACTGAGTTTGTTTTGTTTGATTTTGAATAGACTGTCAGGTGCAAATAACTGGAGAGCATTTACGAATGAGAGTTTGGAATGGAAGTGTATCTGGCTGTTTTAGCCTTTTTGATTGCCGCCCCCGCCCCGGCAGTGGCAGTGTTGGCCAACAGTGGTCACGGTAGACATCTTAAGAGCTGACACATCACCTGTGTGTGTGCCAAACACTGCTCTTATGTACTTCACTCAAACACTTTTTTTTTTCTGGGATAAGATCTTGCTCTCTCACCCAGGTTGGAGTGCAGTGGCACAGTCTTGGCTCACTGCAACCTCTGCCTTCCAGGCTCAAGTGATTCACCTGTCTCAGCCTCCTGAGTAGCTGGGACTATAAGTGGACGCCACTGCACCTGGCTAATTTTTGTATTTTTTATAGAGATGGGGTTTCACCATGTCGCCTAGGCTGGTCTCAAACTCCTGAGCTCAGGTGATCCACTCACCTCGGCCTCCCAAAATATTGGGATCACAGGCATGAGCCACTGTGCCTGGCCTTTTAAACATTTCTCATTTAGTCGTCACAGCAACCCTATGAATGTTATCTCTGCTTTACAAATGAGGAAATTATAATACAGAGAGGTTAAATGACTTGCCCAGTGTCACCCAGCTAGTATGTGTGTCCTCATCAACATACTCTACTCTGTGAGACTATTTAACACTTAATTACCTGAAGCTCTGTGCTTCACGTGAAGCAATCTTTAGAGCTTTAGATTCCTACCTAGATTGTTAGCTTTAATAGAGACAATAACAGATAGAGAACTTCTTATTTTTATGAAATTACTTTTTTCTTTCTTTCTTTCTTTTTTTTTTTTTTTGAGAAGGAATCTTGCTCTGTCACCCAGGCTGGAGTGCAGTGGCACAATCTCAGCTCACTGCAGTCTCCGCCTCCCGAGTTAAAGTGATTCTTCTGCTTCAGCCTCCTGAGTAGCTGGGACTACAGGTGCATGCCATCACACCCAGCTAATTTTTGTGTTTTTAGTAGAGATGGGGTTTCACCATATCAGCCAGGCTGGTACCTCTGCCTCCCAAAGTACTGGGATTACAGGCATGAGCCACTGTGCCCAGCCCTGGAATTACATTTTTTAAAGGCTCAGGGCTGGCATGTTTCTAAAGGGGCTGGCATAGGTGTATGCTGTAAATTGGTATTGCCTTCTAGAAAGCAGTTGGATGTTAAGTATCCACAGTCATTAAGATGTTTGTAACCTTTAACCTCATAATCTTATCCTTGATTATTTTAATCTTGGGAAATAGTCCAAAAGAAAAAAAAAATATGTGCACAAGAATTTTAATTGCAGTATTTCAGTTAATTAATGGCAAAAAGTTGGAAACAACTTTAATGACCGCTAGTAGCGGAATGTTAATATAAAGTATAGCACATTAATGCACTGGGTATATTTTATTATCTTTTAAAATGAGGCATGACTGTATCAGCATATGGAACAGTTCACAATAAAACATTAAGCAAAAACATAGAGGTAGGCTGAATATTGTGTCCATATGCTGATTATAAGTAAAGTAGGCATGTGTGTGAACAAAAGCTAGAAGAAAACATGAAAAAGCTAACACTTGAGCCCTAGAGTTATTTAATGACTGGCTGTTGGTTGCCAGTAACTAAGAACCTGCTTACTTTTTTAAAATTCTTAATTCCAGCTGGGTGCAGTGGCTCGTGCCTGTAATCCCAGCACTTTGGGAAGCCAAGGCAGGTGGATCACTTGAGATCAGAGACCAGCCTGACCAACATGGCAAAACCCCGTCTCTACTAAAAATACAAAAAGTTAACCAGGTGTGGTGGTGCATTCCCATAGTCCTAGCTACTCGGGATGCTGAGGCAGGAGAATCACTTGAACCTAAGTGATTGTGCCACTGCACTTGAGCCTGGGCAACAGAGCAAGACTGCATCTCAAAAATTGTGTGTGTGTGTGTGTGTGTGTGTGTACACACAGGTGTGGTGGCATGCACCAATACACACACACACACACACACACACACGTATGTATTCTTCTATTATACCATTTTGAGACAATGAGTATTCTTGTAATGAAATTTCAGTATCATTACACTATTCAGAAAGGCATAAAATGCAGCATTGTGAATAACAGCAGTTTTAAATTCTACCTTGATTTTTAAGATATTTTTACCTTGATCTATATTAGCTGTTCTGTTCATGTATTACCAGGAAACTGTATTGTAGTTTTGGAAGAAATGCGAGACTGAGAAGGAAGAACCAGTTGCATTGCACAAGAAAGTGTGCCATCATAGAATAGCTAGTGACTTGTGCGACCAGAGCTTCTGTTTGTTCAGGGTCTTGTAGTTCACTGACCAAGAGTGCAGAGAAGAGCTCACTTGATCCTTGCAACAGCCCTCCCTCTCAGGTAGACAGGCCAATGTAATCACCTCCATTTCACAGAGATGCTGACACTCACAGTAAGTGACTAGTTTGAGTTTTTGGGTCAATAAGGAAGAAAGCTGGAACATAATTATAGTAGAGACTGTGTTTTTCACACATATAATATAGCAGCAATGAAAACATAGACATTCTAAGTCATGAGTGGGGTAGCACAGTAAAAGAACATTTAGAGTAGGTTAGAGAGAGGTGGGCAGAACTTGGAACTGGGAAGTGATCCTTCACATCCCATTGCTTTTAATAGAGGAGCAAGGAGCAGTGTGGAGAAGGTAGATATGCAGACAGGAAGATCACTCTGGCTAGAACAAAGAGCGGCTGATAGTGGGAAGTAAGATTGCAGGTGGATATATAGCAATGAAGGTGGGTGAGAACAATTGATAAGATTTCAGCCTAAATTTTGAGTAGTGTTGCAGGAATGAAAACAAGTAGATTCTGGCCATTTGTAGTACATTTTGAACCTGTCCTGCTAACATTTTAATGTATCTTGGCTTTTTTGCGGGGAGCAGAAATGGGGTCTTGCTCTGTTTCCCAGGATACTCTCAGACTCCTGGCTTCTAGCAGTCCTCCTGCCTCAGCCTCCCAAAGTGCTGGGATTATAGGCGTGAGGCACCATGTCTGACCAGTCTTGGCATTTTATAATAAGAATAATATATCTGAAAATGTAATTTAAAAGATCATTTTGTTTGCATATCTATTCACTAGTCCAGTTAGTAGTCCATTGAAAATTCTAATTACTTCTGAATTACTAAGTATAAAACCATTTATTTCCTTTCCAGGATTATATTCCATCACAACAAGATATTCTGCTTGCCAGAAGACCCACCAAAGGCATTCATGAGTATGACTTTGAAATAAAAAATGTTCCTTTCAAAATGGTTGATGTAGGTGGTCAGAGATCAGAAAGGAAGCGTTGGTTTGAATGTTTCGACAGTGTGACATCAATACTTTTCCTTGTTTCCTCAAGTGAATTTGACCAGGTGCTTATGGAAGATCGACTGACCAATCGCCTTACAGAGTCTCTGAACATTTTTGAAACAATTGTCAATAACCGGGTTTTCAGCAATGTCTCCATAATTCTGTTCTTAAACAAGACAGACTTGCTTGAGGAGAAGGTGCAAATTGTGAGCATCAAAGACTATTTCCTAGAGTTTGAAGGGGATCCCCACTGCTTAAGAGACGTCCAAAAATTCCTAGTGGAATGTTTCCGGAACAAACGCCGGGACCAGCAGCAGAAGCCCCTATACCACCACTTCACCACTGCTATCAACACAGAGAACATCCGCCTTGTTTTCCGTGACGTGAAGGATACTATTCTGCATGACAACCTCAAGCAGCTTATGCTACAGTGATGTACAAAAGACTTGTTGTTTTAATATTTTTCTGTGTTTTTGATTGTTTTCTGTGTGTTTTGTTTTTTAAATAGCAGTTTACAACCAGAATTAGAACAATCTTGATTCTGTGTTTAACTTCTTGAAAATCTTAGTACTTTTTCTGCAGCCTTGGGTTTGTGGCTGAAAGCTGTTGAGTGACACATTGCCAAGATTTGCTGTAATGCAGGCTTTGATCTGTTTCACTATGGCTTCTATTCAAGTCCAGCTAAAACTTCCCAGCCGACCTCAGACTAGGCATATTTCAAGCTTTAAATTCTGCTTTTCCAACTGAATTCTCCTGCAGTGCCAAGTAGAGAAGGTGTCTTTAAATACTTGTAAGGATGAGGTTAGGAATACTGGGTTCCAAAACAAGTAAGATATCTTCTGTCTGCCTTACACGTAGCAGTGACACTTGCTGCCTAGCTTAATGGTGACCTATTTTGAAAGGGCTGTTAGAAAAAAAGTTTGATCCAAGAAATGGCATTCTGTAGATTTATAGAAGGTTTAGCCTTCATATTTTAATTGCTTGTATACACAGCAGCTGTTTTGCTTTTAAATGTCTGTGTTTCTGAAGGTAATGCTCTTAGTGTTTTCAAGTTTACATAAGGATCTTTGGTCTGATGCTGATGAAGAGTTCACAGGTGGTACGGCGGGAGAGCAAAAGGCAAGCAAATGCTATTTATGGCGTTTTGGTGAAACAGAAGGAGTGAAACAGAATTTGCCTTAATCGTGTTTAATTATCATGTAGTTTAATGTACCATATGTGAAACATTGTGGCCATAGCAGCAACTAAAAACTGCAAGCGACTTGATAACAGAACTTTCTAAATAAACTTAACCTGTTCCAGAATGTCGTGTATTTCACTTTTAAGCCCTATCTCGGTTGGTCGGTAAAGACCAGTCCTTACTGTAGGAAATCATTGTTGTAACATCACAAACATCTATCTTTTGCTGTCCTCTCCATTCCCACCAACTACAAACTGTGGCATTTATGGGACTGTTGTTTGTTTGGAGCTTGCCAAGGGCAGTATTGTTCTGTCAGACTATTCAAGAAGGCATTATTTGAGATTCCTGTTCATTCTTGGTGTGTCTCTAAAAGATACAGTATGTATACATTTGTATAATTGTGTTCTATGAAAGTCCAGCTTTTCTGAGGTATATTTTAAATGTTTTAAGGATGCTTCTAAGGATAAGTAGTAGTATTTTTTAGTTCGCACCTAAAGATGATTACATTGACCTCCCCCCACTGCTTACCAAATTAAACTGTGTCCATGAAGTAGCTTTGTGATTGCAGATGCATTCATAGTGAACTCATCAGAATGGCTGATTTGCAGTACTGAAATACTATCTTATAGGCTTTATGTAGTGTTAAAATTAAATCAGAGAAACAAAAGTCCAAGGCTGGTGACAGTTAGAAAAGTCTAACAGCTTTTCTTCTTTTTCTTAAAATTCTAAGACTGTGATATCTGTCATGTTGCTGTATAGCTGGCTGTGCACTCAGGTATTTTATTGGTCCTTGAAGGACTGGTCATTGCGGATCACCCAGTCTTTCCAAGTCAGTGGCTGTCGTTCTGTCTTGCTGTCTGATACAAGAGTGGGGCTTTTCTGTGAACTAACCAGGGATTGTTCTTGACATACCTGACTTTTCGTATTTTTTTTAGTAGAGGCGTGGTTTCACCATGTTAGCCAGGCTGGTCTTGAACTCTTGACCTCAAGCCATCCATCTGCCTCAGCCTCCCAAAGTGCTGGGATTACAGGCATGAGCCACCATGCCTGGCCAACATACCTGACTTTTCTCATGTTGGAACTTCTACTGTCCTTAAATTCATGTAACTTCCAGCGTTTTCATGCCACGTAGCCCGGCACCGTGACGCAGGTGTTCATGATATCATTCATGCATGTTTGATTAGTTCTACTTAGATCTAGTGCCTCTTGCCAAAAAGAATATATTGTTTAAATTCACAAAGTTAGCGTAATGGCAGTGCTAATGAATATATGAATGTGCACAGTAACATTTGGCCTATTCGGTGGAGAATTTAGCCATACATTTTGCAAACAGTTTTACTGAATGGCCAAAAACATTGAACTCCAATGACGACTCAAGCTAGATCTCTATGGAAAGAGGACACTTCATGTTATTTAAGTAATAGTTAAGATCTGTGATATGAACTGTAGATATTGCCTGACAAAGCAGAAATCACCAAGTTTCCCCATTTTGACTTACCACTAGGAAGTGTTAAAACACCAAATAGCGTGTTATTTTGGGCATTTGCAATTTTCTTCCCTGCTGCATGTGATGTCTCAGAATCAACATTCTTTTAAATTTTAGAATCAATTTTGAGTCAATGAATTACTTACATTCAACTTAAGCTTGTTTTGACATTCAGTAGAACTTTAAGTTCAATCTAAAGGCTTCAGTCCACATTTTTTTTAATGTGTTGTATTTTAAAACCATTTGAAAGGAGTCTTATAACTGTATCATGAAAACTGAATCCTTTTGAAATACCACTTTATGAAGAGAGATGAAATTTAGTGAACAGAATTGAAAAGGTGCTCATAATTTTCACTATGCCAACTTACCCCGGTCTCTAAAAAAGTAATTTAAAGTTCTTTGATGTATTTGGTTTTCTAAATCTTTATGATTATGATTTGGAATAAAATGTGCCTAATCCTGTATTACATTCTGTTCTTAAATATGAATGCCTTCTCATTTAATTCTGAAGAAATACCACACAAGTGTCTTCATTGACCTTGAAGAAATGTATCATTTACACAGTTGCCTTACAGAACAACAACATAAATTTAGACTATAACTTTTATAGAGAAAGGGTTTTGTCAAATGTTTTCTGAAAATCTGAATAATTCAAAGTGTGCCTCTGCCATTTTAATATTTTTAATAACCTGCATTGTTGCTGTCTGCCAAATACTAAATTGAAATCTTCATTTTAGTTTTATTGTCTGGAAAGGGCACTGGCGTGCGCTGCAACCAAAGAAAGCAATGTGGAATGAAAGAGATGATTCATTTTGTCTTATTTTCTTTAAAGAAAGGGCAGTATTGGCATGTGCTTTACATAGAGAAGGTCCTCTGGTTAATCTCTCAAATTGAGGCTGTTTAGGGAAATCCTTACTAAGTTGGTGGCAGTTGGTTTAAAGTAGAAGGAAATAATATGACCTTAATACTAGAAATGATTAGAAGTACTGATTTAGATTCAACAGATATATGTCCTTATCATTTTTTGTAAGAAGAAATACATAAATCTTAACTTTCAGTGTGTACCCAAATACTTGTATTTATGCTTTTGATAAAATGTATTTTCCACATTAATACACATCCGGTTATGCCTTATTTATATATGAAGAATAAAGTTACCATGTTACGCTGTTATGTCCTGAAATTCAAATCACTATTTGAGAAACCCTCAAATTGGTGCTTTCATTATATAATGATACATTTAGGCAAAACCCCAAACCAAGCCATTTGAAGCAAGATTCTCTGTTGCAGTTTGTAGCAATGTTATTTCTGTGTATGTCATGAGAAGGCTATCAGTGTTAATTTCTTGTTTGAATCCATGAAATCATGCCTGTAAAGCCCAAACATTTGTAACAAACTCCCTAATAAATTTAGAGAAAGTCACTCTGTTACCATTTCATTTATTTTAGTTTTATTTGAGGAATCAAATCCAGAAGTTTTGCTCATGTCTTTTTCACTTGGAAATCTGACTTAGGATCTAGTTACTCTGTCTGTCTCCCATCATTTTAAGGTGTTCACTTCTGTTAGTCACAGATGATCTGTCCTTGTGTTATGCTGCTTGACTAAAAGCACTGATTTTTTTTTTTTTTTTTTTTTTAATGATAGGATACAGGGTGGCTTTTCAGTCTAGTAAACAGGAGGGGAGAGATTATGGGTAGGTGTGGGTGTGTCTGCATGTCCCAAATATAGCACATGCCCATTTTTTGATGGTACGAGATTAGGGCTTAATAAATGTACACTAGAGCTTGAAGTATAAGTCTAAGCCTGAACATTTTAAACAAGTTGGACATTATGGCTTTTGCAAGTTCCATCAAGTAGATGTTAGCCTTAGGCTGGTAGGTGATTAACGACATTATTTGAAGTACAGTGTTTGTATTACTAGCATTCTTATGTCTGTACTTGAATGTATAGTTAGCATTTAAGTTATGTTCACTCTTGTGGCAGTCAGGTCTAACCATCTGGTTTCAAATGCGAGAGCTTATGTGAAACATTGTTTTAAAAGCATGAATGATAATGGCAATATTTCATGGGTTGATGAGATTTTTGTGACCTATACAAATCTGTTAATGAAAGTTTACAGATGGATCAGAGTATGCTGGAACTCACTATGCACAAATTTTCAATCAGTGAGTATCACTGAAAGTCATCTAGTACTTGGTATGTGATTTTGGTTTGTATTAAGAAAGTGTGTTTATAGTATGTCTTGCCATAGTGATACATTTGTCCTTAATCATGCCTATTTGATGGTACTAGGAAAGAAAAGGGTAGAGATTAATTCTTGCAAAGTATATGCAACAGTGGAACAAACTATGCCATTTACATTTTACCTCTTATTTAAGGCAGAATTGCAAAACGTTTGAAATGGCTTTTCTGTACTACTCCGCTCTGGTGAGAGCTCATTTACCACAAGAAGCCTTATAAAATATATTTTGTAACAACCTCATAAATACTGTACCTAACAAACATGATTTGTATTATTAGCTCTGTATAAAATATTTTTGTGGCTTAGGGGTTTGTTTTTTTTTTTAACATATATCTTTTTATAACTTTCCAGGAACTAAGCACATTATCTGATAATTGTAAATTTTGTCAGTGCTTTAGTTCAGGATGGGCAATAAATTATTTCTAAAGGAGGTCTAAAAGTGGAAAGAATGGTTTGATTTTATAAAATGAGTTGCTAGTTCATTACAGCTTTTTCCTTTTGTACATATTTTGCAAAACATTTGCCTCTTGCTATTAATATTTGCTTTGTAAAATTTACTGACATTTAATAAACATTTGTAAATGATTCAATACTACAATGTTATTTAAACTAACAGTTTGCTAACTGTAAAGTGTAAAGCAGATGCTGAAAGTCTGAAAGCAAAAGTTTCATCGAGGGACTGACTTAAGACAGAAATCTACATCAGCAGAATCCCCAACAACACTTGGCTTAAATATTAGTCTAGAAATTTCTTACTAGAAATGGAGATGTGGACTTCTTCCAAAGAAGTTCTCAGACACTTAATATATTTTGACATGGGAATTGGGAAAGAGAAACCGCTTGTTTTTCTCTTTTCCTCTTAAGGTCGCTGAAACTGTATTAGGGTATACCTGAGCTCAGTTCATCCAGCTGAGACAGTATTAATAATTCTGTTATGTCTGTTGTAATTAATGTTTGAAGACAAACCAATGTTTACCACTCATAGTTTTAAAAAAAATTTTATATTATTTACAGAAGAATGTCCAGACAGTACAGAGTTCCCCTATACTCCACAGCCCTTATAATAGTTCCCATAATTAACATCTTGCATTAGTTTGGTACATTTGACATAATTAATGAACCAATACTGATAACGTTATTAACTAAAGCCCATACTTAGTTCCTATTTCCTTAGTTTTCCCCTACATTACATTTACTTGTCATGTCTCCTTCAGCTCCTCTTGGTAAATTAACAGACTCCCTGTCTCTCAGATTTTCTGTTTTTGATGACATTGGCAGGTGTTTTGTTTTTTGTTTGTTGTTGTTGTTGTTTTTTTGGGGGGGCAGGGTCTCCCCTCTTGCCCAGGCTAAGAGTATAGCGGCCCGATCTCGGCTCACTGTAGCCTCTGCCTCCCAGGTTCAAGTGATTCTCCTGCCTCAGCCACCCAAGTAGCTAGGATTACAGCCGCATGCCACCACACATGGCTACCTTTTGTATTTTTAGTTGAGATGGAGTTTCTCCATATTGCCGAGGCTGGTCTCAAACTCCTGAGCTCAAGTGATTTGCCTGCCTCGGCCTCCCAAAGTGCTGCGATTACAGGCTTAAGGACTTTGGCAGTTTTGAGGAGTATTAGTCAGGTATTTTGTAGAATATCCGTCTGTTGAAATTTGGTGTTTTTCTCATGGTAGACTGGATTATGGGTTTGGGAACCACAGAGATAAAGCATGATTGTCATCAAATCATATCAGGTGCACCTTGTGTGGTTACTACTCAGCTTTTCCCTTTACACTTTCTGCTAGTCTCAAATCACTTTTGGCATGTTTACGCCTTTTCTTAACTAGCATATATAGAAACCTACGGCTGCATGCAGTACCTCAGCACTTTGGGAGGCCAAGGCCGGCGGGTTACTTGAGCTCATGAGTTTGAGACCAGCCTGGGCAATATGGTGAAATCCCGTCTTTACAAAAATTAGGCAGGCGTAGTGGCGTGTGCCTGTAGTCCCAGCTACTTGGGAGGATGTGGAGATTGCAGTGAGCCAAGATGGCACCACTGCACTCCAGCCTGGGTGGTGGATCCAGACCTTGTCTCTAAATAAATAAGTAGACAGAGATAAAGCTGTGCTTGTACTTTTCATCCCCTAAACAGAACGAAGGGCTTTCTCTTGGTATTGCAAAGCAGGCGTTGGGAAATGTCTGGAGATAATGGTTGTACTACTGGGCTGGTTTGGCTCCAACCTCTCCTGCAAACCAAAATTCTTTTCCAGGGCCTCACCTCTAACATGTCAAGAAAAACTGGGATAGAAAATTTGGACTTGGAGTCTAAATATTAATATCTAAAAATCTGTGACTTTGGAAAATGGTCATTAAATTCTGGGAGAGATTTAAGATCTTTAAAAATTGAAACTAGACTCACTTGAGTATTTGAATCCCCAAACTGAGAGGTCATTTAAAAAACAAAAACACCCTTTCTTATGCTGTTGTTGGAACAAGGGAATATTTCTCTGTATAAAAAGAAACAGAACACAACTATTTGTAGCAAAGTGTTTTGGCACAATCCTGGTTAATTGGCACCATAGAATGTCACGTTGGTACAGGATGCCTTCCCAAAATGACCTGTTTCACTCCCTTCTGTTCATGTTTCCTCTCCCCTTCACCAGCTGGCAGGAGCAGAAAATGAAGCGTGTCTAAAGCTGCAGTGTAGGTCATTATGGAAGAACCATCGACTTTAAAAAAGACTTGATAGCTTCTATTTTCCTATCACGAATCTTCCTGGGGAAGAAAAATCAACATACTCCTCCACTCAGTATAAATGTCAATTCTGGACACAGCTTCCCTCAATATTCTAGGAAAGGCAGACTTTTCGGTCCTAAGAATGTAGGAAACTCAAGATCTACAGGTTAAACCAGACGTCTGTTTTGGTGACTTGGAAAATTTGGCAAATCCTCAATGGATGACCCAGGGCAGTATTTTAAAATACGTACTGTAGGCCTCACATGGTGGTTCACACCTGTAATCCCAGCACTTTGGAAGGGTAAGGTGGGTCACTTGAGGTCAGCAGTTCAAGACCAGCCTAGCCAACATGGTAAAACCACATCTCTACTAAAAATACAAAAATTAGCCCGACCTGTGGCAGACACCTGTAATCCCAGCAACTTGGGAGGCTGAGGCAGGAGAATCGCTTGAACCTGGGAAGCAGAGGTTGTAAGCAGTAGGCCAAGATCACACCACTTCACTCCAGCCTGGGCGACAGAGCAAGACTCCATCTCGAAAAAAATTAAAAATAAAAATAAAGGCCGGGCATGGTGGCTCACATCTGTAATTCCAGCACTTTGGGAGGTCGAGGCAGGCAGATCACCTGACAACAGGAGTTCAAGACCAGCTTGGCTAACACAGTGAAACCCTGTCTCTGCTAAAAATACAAAAATTAGTCAGGTGTGGTGGCATGCACCTGTAGTCCCAGCAACTCAGGAGGCTGAGGCAGGAGAATCGTTTGAACCCAGGTGGGGGAAGTTGCAGTGAGCCAAGATCGTGCCTCTGCACTCCAGCCTGGGCAACAGAGTGAGACTCCATCTCAAAATAAACAAAGTGCATGCTATAATTTTTCCTCAGAAATTAGTGGGGCCTCTGAAATACGTTACTGTGATTGGAGTAAGGGCTGTCCATGAAAATGCTGCTTCGAGAATATTTTCCAAGTGTTCCTTTTCCTGTGAAGTACACCAAGGAAACAAAAGCCTCAAACAAGTATGTGATACAAATTAGCCATTCAATGAGACTGTGTTAGGGTTCTCTGCCACAAGAATACTGAGGGATGTTGTGTCCGGAATTGACATTTATACTTAGTGGAGGAGTATGTTGATTTTTCTTTTCCCCATGAAGGTTCGTGGTAGAAAAACAGAAGCTATCAAGTCTTTTTTAAAGTCAATTATTCTTCCATAATGGCCTACACTGCAGCTTAGACACGCTTGATTTTCTGCCCCTGCCAGCTGGTGAAGGGGAGCGGGAACATGAAATGGCCAAGCCTGCTGACCTTGGAGAGAAAAAAATTGTCGTTTCATTTTACTTTCCTATTATTCTACATGGAAAATCCCCAGTTCTTGTAACCTTTGTGGGATTTAACTAGCCGATTTCACCATCAGACTTAACTGAAACTTTATTCTGAATAAATGAACCTCGCTGGGTGCTGGTGGCTCACACCTCTAAT